TGCATACGGGGATGCGCGCACACACAAACTTGGCCCGGATCACCATTCGCGCGGGCGCGCGCTCGCTCGCTTGCGTTAACGTGTTTGGGTATGCAGTCAGCCGAAGTAGGCAAAAAGTGGTAGCGCACACGATAGTAGGCGCGATCGCGATCCCGAAGAACATGCATGCAAGCACACACGTTCTGCTACGCAAGTGCCGGCGACGGCGGGGAGTGGTGTGCGTGCACAGGGAGGAACGGGCGTTTTGAAAGGGTAGAGTTGGGGAGGATTCCGTGGCTTCTGTTAGCACCATCATCTTCCCCGAAGCAGATGGGAGAGCGTTAGTTGCTAAGCTGGCACGCACGCACGCAGGCGCGCGCAGAAGAAGAAGCCATTAGGCATTTCGTACACAACGAACGCGCACAAGCTGAGAGACTGAGATTCAACTCGGATGAAAGCGACACAGCAGAGTTGACCTCAGCTGAAGCAGCAGCAGCAGGCACAAAAGAAGTTTTGTTGTTATGCTACTTGATCGATAATCTCTGCACACCAACCCTCCCACCCCCTGTCAACGGAAAATGCGAATTCTCGATCTGCATAAACCAGACCGGCACCAAGTGTGAGCTTAGGCAAGGAGAACCGAAACAAATAGCTTAACGGTCAACAGCCAAGAGGCTGGAAGCATGCAAGATTCCATACCGAAAAATCCACAAAAAATTTGGGTCGTGCTGGTGTAAATAGAAGGAACTAGGAAAGGAAAAAAGACAAAATTTCGACCTGAATTGGCCAAAAACCGGTTACTGATTCCTGCAGGTGTGATGCTATCAGTGGTAACCTATGGCTAACCAACGTCCGTCGTTTGTATGTTCTATTGATACCAAGTAATGGGTGCGCTTCCTGAAAGAAGTCTCACTTCCCTGCTTGCACTCAACCAGTTTATCCCCTAGTAGGAGTGTCCGGTACCAGTGAAGGCAATGAAACAGACATGCAACAAACACTGCTATTTCTAGTCGATTGAAAGTGACGCGCGACGACTTGGTCTAGTAGCTGGACAGCATAGAAGGTGTCTAATCTAACCTTTAATTTTCCGTCTAGAGCCCCCACAGGCGGCCTCACGGCAACAAGCAACCAAAAGTCCAGCATTCCCCATTTCAGCCAACCGGACGTGAGCTCGCGGCTCAATGATCAAGAGGATCCGGGTTCGAAAGTCGGGTATCGCTGACCCCGAATAGGGGTTTGGTCAACTGAAGACGACAGGCAAGAGGTGGCCATTCTAACCTCCTCTTTGTTGTCAGTGGTCATTGCGGAGAGTTCGATTTCGCAGAAGAGTAGTAAACACCCGACTAAATACCTTTTCAAGCGTACATGGCGGCGGACCACGTATTTCATGGGATCATCGACAACGGTCTCTCTCAATTGAATTTAGAGTCAGCAAGCAGAACAACTTTTTAAGGGAAAATGAGTAAATCCATGAGCGAGGGGGGCGAGTAAAAGTACTAGGATTGGATAGTCAAAATTTGGGAGATGCGCTTGCGGGTGTGGCTAACATCGTCAGCAAGGGCTTCACTAATTTCATTTCGACAGGGATCCGAACGTAACACCAGCCAGACTACCGCTTCCACTGCACAGAAGGCAGTAGAAAAAGAACTGTAGAAAACTGATTCAAGAAAGAGGAAAATTCAAAATACGATTGGATAAAAATGGTGAAACAAATGACGTTGAGGAAAAGTCGGTCGGAAAGCGTGAAATGAGGGAGACAGCAAACGCGGGGAATAGATAGGACACAATGGAAGTGGACGAGGACAACACGGTGAATAGGCGGGAGGACGGCGACAGCAGTAGGGGAAAAGAAGGGCATCACTAGCATTTCGGGATGGATGGTGCTCGCACGCAAACACGTTGCCGACACATCAAACAGTCAGCGTGTGATGACTTATACGGCATAGTGGAGGGGAGTGACGAAGCCCACGGCGAAGTACGGTGACCTTGAAATGTACTCGTGAGTCACGCCTGGCGTAAGAATGGGACCTGGCACGTGGGAACGCGCGTCAGCACGCCCTCGGAACGACGTAGGCGTGGCGGGCTGGCAGTAAACAGGCTCCTCTCGGTGTCATGTGTGCACACGCACTTATGCTGTGGAGCTGCATTGTATGCGGAGGAGTGTCCCACTGAAACAAGGTATGTCAGCCGCTCACTCCGCCTTTCGTCCGCCTTACTGCTGGTTCCGCCAGAAAAACAGGAAGTGGTGTGGCGGCAGGGCATTAAAGGGGGGCGCGGCACCGATAAGACGCCAGAATTACTGCCATGTTTTCACTTCGCAGCGTCATAATAGATCATTCAAGTGACAAGTTTTCGAACGCGTGACTCACCTCCAATGGTATCCCCTGAAAGCTGCGTAGACAACTCACTTGATGGGCGTATGGCTGAATGACTGCCCAAATCATAAGTTGGGGATTCCGGCCGGAATTAATTGCGGTATCAAAAATCCAAAAACATCACAAAAAGGGCTGCGATCTAAAATCGGCTGTCATTGTAGGTCCTGGAAGCAATTCACCTTTTTAGACAATAACCTACTTCCTCATGGTTCATGTAACCTTCGGCTCTAACAGTCTAGACTTTGGTGTCCTGCACGAAACACGCGTAAATGGTCTTCATCAAATAATGCACATTTACGAGTCTGCAAAAGCTCCTGAAACTGAAACTAAGGCGAGACGTCACCGAAAGGCCAGTAGTCGTGTTTCAGACTTGTGATGCTGTGGCATCCCGATCATCCAATAAAGCATACCAGCGCCCCAGGGTAGACCAACGAGACACTCGCAGGGGGGGGGGCATCGGACATCAAAAGCAAAGAGTTGCTGCAACGAGAAAGCATGTCAAGGGCTGGGAGTGCTAATCGCATTTGCAACAGCCGGGGGTCGCAAGGTCGAGTGCGAGTACGGATGGTCACCTAGACGCCGTCGCCAGGCAGGCCCTGATTCCGACTGGATGACATCACGCGATTTCGTCCTCCGATTGCGCAGCATATGGCTAAGGCATTTCGGATAGCGAGTAAGGGGTACGGTCTTGATCGATTTTATTCCGGATAGATCTTTTAGCTCTTCGCTGGAGGGGCAATCAGACAAACGAGTTCGGTGAACGGAGTGCTCGTAGCATTGAACGAACATTGCCATGGCTGTGTGCACGGGTCATATCTCATATCAGTGAACAATGATTGCTTCCATAGGTTTTTGGTGGTTTTGGATAACTTATTTTGACTCAACTGTGAAAAACTCGACCATTTCGGTGGCATTCAAAACCACAACAGCAAGGGGAAAGCTTGAGGACAACCAGTGTTTTAGCGACCTGGACTACGAAGCCCCACCGAGAGCTGAGGGTTTTTTTAGTTGCATCGAAATAAATAAATGATTGTTTTGTCGGAGGCCATGCTCACTCACAACTTGGTCTCCTAACTGGTCTCACACAGAGTTCAGAGATTTCCGAGGAGTCGGAAGGAGGCCGCACGTTCCTGAATATCTGACGGTTGGTTTCACGTTTACCTTGTCCAGTTGGCAGGAAGGTAGACCAGAGGCTACCGTGACCGGACAGATATCGCCGAGCGCAAAATCGAGGCGACTGACTTTGTTTTGGCTGTGAACGGAGCTAAGCACGAAGGGCGCAACTATGAGTCCTTTAACCGGGTCACGTTGGAGTATTCGCAATGGAAGCACGCCTACACACAACTGCCGCTTTTGGGCCCGAGCGTGGTTATTAGACAGAAACCGTAGCCAGAATTGAAAGAAATGTGCCGCCAGCAGACAACGGCGCGAGGCCGGGCGATAGATGTTGGCGTCACGATCACCCTCAATGGCGACAAATATGGGGGGAAATGGGGGGAAGGCGGAGAATCGAGACCTAGTTACGGGAGCTGTAACCGCGTGACACGATAAAACTGTCGGCAATACGACAAGCGACACGCAAGGCGCTTTCGACAAAATAATGAGTAGGGAACAGGGGTAAGAGAAAAAATGAAACGGAGAGCTGGTGGTCCCGCAGCGGACAAGTCTGAAGCATGAGATGATTACAAAAATCCTGGAGATCGCAAGCGAGGTGAAGTAGGGATTGAAAATCGGCGGAACAAACCACCGTCCTGTAGGAAATTCCGTTTTCTAGAAAAAGCCAGGGTCGGACACGGGAATAGGCGTCCCGCGTATTACTGGTGGCCTTGAGCTTAATTCCAGGGGCGTAACTATTCCCATGCTCTAAAAATTCAGATGGGAAGTATGAAGTTTTTCGACACCCAAGTGTCCACTGGTGATGGAAAATACACTGCTCAGGTCTGTTCTCCTATGGTATCTGAAGTAATTTACTGGGGAAATACATCCTGGTTTCGGCAAGCACTGTTCACCCTGTACAACAGACGTATAACTCACAGGCGTATCTACTCGAAAATATGTAAAAACTGGCCTACCCCATGAAGTGGTAACCGGAATCACGAAGGACTACTTAGGTGGGGTTGAAATAATGGCTATCACGCAGCACGTCCTCTGCGACCTGACCGTGACTCACAGACGCAAAACACACGGTCGAAACAATACTCTCTCTCTCCGTTCTCCTCCTCCTCCTCCTCCTCCTCCTCCTCCTCCCCGTCGTCCAACTCCACAGGCTGGTAGAGTGAGTCCGCTCACTCCGCAGCCCGAAATGTTCGTTCCCTTCTAGACAACCCGAGGAGCAACCAATTGGAACGGAGGACAGCGACAGTGGCTGAGGAACTGGCGCGCTACAAGGTGGATACCACCGCACTAAGCAAGACCCGGTTATTCAAATACAAACAACTGGAGGAAGTGGGTGCCAGCTACACCTTAATCTGGAGCGGTCTCCCCAAGGCAGTGCGACGGGACGCGGGCGTCGCCCTTGCCATCCGGAACGACATCGTGGGAAAAATGCCGTGCCTGCCGTAAAGCATCAACGATCGCCTGATGAGCCTCCACCTGTCTCTCCGGGGAGGCAAATGCGTCACCATCTTCAGCGTATACGCTCCCCCGATGATCAGCCCTAACGAAACGAAGGACAAATTCTATGAGGACCCATACGCACTCCTGGCGACTGTGCCGGAGGCGGATAAGTTGATCGCCCTTGGTGACTTCAACGCCTCCGTCGGCACAGGCCATGCTGCTTGGAGGGGACTGCTGGGTTCCCATGGTCTCAACGGCCCTAATGACAATGGCCTGCTCCTCCTACGAACCTGCGCAGAACACGGGCTCATCCTGACTAACACCTACTTCCGCCACCCGTTGCGTGAGAAGGCCACCTGAATGCATCTTCGGTCGCGACACTGACACCTGCTGGACTATGACCTCGTCCGAAGGCGAGACCAGCGGGACGAGCTGGTGACAAAGGCGATCCCGGTTGCCGACGGGTGGACGGCCACTGCCTCGTCATCTCCAAGATGAGGATTCGCTTACAGCCTGGTAGGAGACCTCAAGGTAAGCGACCACCAGGCAAGCTGAATATTGCTTTGCTGTCGTTGCCTGCTCACCATCTCCATTTCACCAACGAATTAGCTCAAAGGCTAGCCAATCTTCCAGTCGCCTCTGATGCCTCCGTTGAGGAAACCGCCTCCGTGGAGAACCGATGGTGTCAACTGAGGGAAGCCGCCCAGTCAACTGGCCTGGCTGTCCTCGGTCGCGCACATCGCCAACATCAGGACTGGTTCGATAAAAATGACGTCGCTACCAGCAACTTATTCGCCGTGGAGGACCGACTGCAAAAAGCCTATGCCAACCGCTCCACCGACGAAAACAAAGCAGCCTTCTACCGTTGTCACCGTCTTTTGCAACAGCGGTCGCGGGAGATACAGGAGGACTGGACGGTTCGCAAGGCCGAAGAGATTCAAGAATACGCGGACCGCAACGAATGGAGGAACTTATTCGTCGCGATCAAAGGCGTCTACGTTCCGCCAACCAAAGGTACTACTCCTCAACTCAACGCCGACAGCAGTACCCCACTTACCGAGATACAAACTCTACAGAGATGGGTCGAGAACTTTAGAGGTGCCATCAACTGTCCCTTCACTATCTCCGACGCCGCAATCGCCCGTCTACCTCAAGTGGAGACCAACAGCGAGCTCGACCTCCCGCCCTCTCACCACGAAACCATCGGGACCAAGCAACATCCCTCTAGGGGGAAAGCACCCGTCTCGGAAGCAAGCCCTACTGAGATCTACAAGCACGGTAGTCACCAACTGATGGATCTTCGGGCGGCGGTCTTCCAGAAGATGTGGCTTCAAGGACACGTCCCGCAGTATTTCAAAACGCCACAACCGTCTATCTCTATAAGTGGAATGCTAATTGTCAGCTCTATGACAAGCACTGAGGCATCTCCTTCCTCGACATCGCCGGGAAATCCTTCGCTCGTATTCTTCCCAACGGTCTTCAATAACCATCTGGAACAGGGTCACCTGCAAGAAAGACAGTGCGGCTCCCACCGTCATCGCGGAACCACTGACATGATCTTCACCGTCCGCCAACTGCACGGGAAGTGTTGGGAGATGCTGACCCACCTGTACTCTACTTTCATGGACCTGACGAAAGCCTTCGACGCGCTGAATCGCGAAGAACTGTGGAGAAACATGCAGAAATACGGCTGTCCCGAACGATCCACTCAAATGGTGAGTCAGCTCCACGATGGAATGGCGGCGCGCGTCACGGACAATGGGGCTGTCTCAAAGGCATTCGCAGAGACCAATGGTGTAAAACAGAGCTGCGTCCTCACGCCTACCCTCTTCAGTCTCATGTTCTCTGCCATGCTAATGGACGCCCAACCGTGACGAACGCCCTGGGATCCGCGTCGCCTACAGAACGGCTGACCAACTCTTCAAGAGGCGGCGCATGCATTCCCAATGGCCTGTACCGGCAACTTCCGTTCATAAACTTCTCTTCGCCGAAGAATGCGTTCTCAACGTCACCTCCGAAGAGGACATGCAAAGGAGCATGGACATCGTCGTCGTCGCCGCCGCCGTCGCTGCCTGTAACAACTTCGGTCTCGTCATCAGCCCGGACAAGACGGTGATTATGCATCAACCGCCACCCGACGCTGCCTACGCCGCACCCCAAATCAACGTGAACGGCAACCAGCTGCAAGTCGTGGACAACTTAACCTATCTGGGCAACACCCTCTCTCGCAACACCAAAATCAACGACGAAGTGGCCCGTCGGATTTCCAAAGTCAGCCAAGCTTTCCACCGTCTGTGAAACACAGTTTGGAATCGACACGGTCTCCACATCAGCACCAAACTGAAAATATACAAAAAGGGTCATCCTGCCAAATCTGCTGGATGGAGCGGAGACCTGGACGGTGTACATGAAACAGGCACGAAGACTCAACCACTTCCACCGACGGATATTGAAGCTGAGGTGGCAGGACCGGATTTCGGACACGGACGTACTAGAGCGAACAGAATCCTCAGTATCCACGCCATGCTGTGACGACTGCAACTGCGCTGTAGCGGCTATCTGGTGCGCATGGACGACGAGCGGTTATCCAAACGACTCTTCTATGGAGACGTCGCCAGGGGATCCCGCTGACAAGGAGGTTAAGTCCGATACTGTAAGGATACCCCGAAGACTTCCCTGAGGCGCCTACAAATCGACCCGTCCAACTGGAAAGACCTCCCCCGGGACCCACCAACCTCGCGGAGAGCCGTGAAGACAGGCGCAGCGATCAGCGAAGCCAACTGCATCACCGCCGCCAAAGCCGAACGCGAAACTCGTAAATCTCAACTACCCCTCCCCGCGCAACGCCAACAATCAACCGCCCCCGACCTGCCCACGATGCCAGCGGACATTCAGGGCTCCAATTAGTCTCGTAGGACCTCTTCGTACCAAATGCAGCACCCAGACGACTCCAGCCGATGTCCCTCCGTCCATCTCTGCCTCGTCCCCCATGCTAATAAGCAACACTAGCCGCATTCCTGAACCCCCACTGCTATCCTCCTCCGTCGCCTTAACATCCGCTGCAGCGGCTCCTGCATTCCTCGCCACTACCCTCAATCCCTCAACCTCACTACCGTCAACACCGGTGATGTGGACTCGGTCCATACCTATCTTCATTGCGAAAGCACCTTCACCTCGCACATTGGCTTAGTCGGTCACTTGCCAAACCATCGCACAGAGAATGGTGAACCAGTACCTAAACCACTCACATAGAGCCGCCGCATCCGTCTCCACTGTTCATACTGCACCTGCACACTCACCCACCTCGTGCGCCTACTAGGACACATGCGCATTCCCGAAAACCTGCGATAAAGAGCCGCCGGCTACACCGCACCATCACATCTTCCCCCACCAACATCCGCACCACAAAACACTATCATCCACTGCAAGAACCCAATTGCCACCTCCGACGAAAGTGGGAAGTGTGCTTCTCGGCTCCGTCTCTATGCAGCTCCTCTGCCGCATGTGTGATCCGAGTCTGAGACTATCACGCTGCGCCAAACGCCGTGGCGTGGAGGTCTGCCGACTGACGCTCCAACTCAGTCCATGCAATCTGTCCAGTTGCGTGCGTTTGTTTGGCGTGGCGGACTGGAGGGCCGCGAACCAGGCTGTCACGGATCCGTCTGAACTGGTCTGAGACAGACACGTGTGAGGAATGTGTGTGTGTGCTTTCTGGGCAGTGCCTCTCAGTCGACGACTGTCTGGTTACCCCGCCTTGAAAGATGACGGCCCAGGCTAACTGCAGGGCCACGTGTTACCCTTCTGGGCATTAAGGATTGTGAGGCTCTACGGACAGATACGATGCTATTGGAGTGGACGTTTCAAAGTCTGAAGAAATCGCATAGGTGCAAACTTTTTAAACCACAAGATATCCTTCCCTCAAGTACAAAACTTAGATGTGACGTAATTCGCTGGCAAATGAGTACAAGGTTGAATATTTTTGCACGTTGTCTCTGAACTACATCTCTTTTTATAAGGGCATATAAAATAAATGAAAAATTAATACTGCTGAAGTGGTCACCGTTTAGCAAGCACGATTTTTGGTAGGCAGCCAAAAGAAGTGCAATCAAAAGCCGACATGCTGACCTAAGTGAAATATCTTGGGACTATGTTGTACGATTTGACAGTTCGAGCGTCAGTTCCGACGAGGTCCACCGTGTACTCCTCAACAAGGCGGCAGCAGGGACTGTGACTTGCGGATGAGCCAGTTTAAAGCACTTTAGACTTACGCAGCATCTATAGCACTCTGTCCTCTCTCCCCACCGGGGCCCGTTGTCAAGACAGAGTCCAGAAGACCGGAGGCGGGAGAGGAGGCAAATGGCTGGTACGACGAGAAGGCGGGCCTATAGTTGCCACCAAAACCTCTAATCAACAACATACAGCGACTAGGATTTTGTAGAACAGGCAGAAAGTGGCCGGCTCGGATTTCAACTGGCGTGACATGGGTCTGCATCTGGATGTGCCGCCGCATCCCCAATATTGGCCTTTGTCATGAGTGTGGCCGATCTAGTCCTCGGGCTGGTCCAGCGGATCTACTGCGTGGCCCATTTTAGGGGCGAAAGTTGTACGACAATCAATATTACAACCCAGACTAACCTAAAGCACATTTCAAACTTTCGGTTAAAATTTCACGAGATGGGCGAGATACTGTGGGTATAGTCATATGGGAGCGACGTTTGGGAGTTTATCATGATTGCAGGATGGAGAATGGACCTCTGTTCTAGAGGCCACGCAGGCGGTCGCGTGGTGACGGTCAATTCGTCGTTGCGAGATGTAACTGACAGGCACATGGGGGAGACATAAATGGCCATTTCGGACTTATCACTAGCATAGGTAAATACATCAGAGGTGGTCATTCTTGCCTGCCTGTCTAGTCGACAACACTTTCCAATGTAAACGCAGTCATTGTGCTCCCTCGACATCAGCGTGTTCTTTTTGCTGGATAACGGATATGGCATTCAAGAATAAGGGTTAAACAAGCCTCCTCACGCGAGGCGTTCGGGAGTTCCATACGTCAGAATACAAAAACGCGATAAGAAATCTTAAAGGTCGTTCGACTCCCCAGAAGAAGTCGGGTCCGAAGAAACAACCTTAGGGGTTTATTGTTAAATAACTTATCCTGCAGATGGCTCGGCCCTTAACCCTCAACAAAAATACGCTCACGCATCCTCAAAAATGAGTAAGTTAAGCGCAGGTTTGCGGTCAGCAGAAATTAATTAGAAAATAGTACAGAATAACAAAGACATGTTCGCCACCGTGGCTTTGAAATCACACGTTAACTTTCGGCATACTCCAGGCACAGCGTGCGGACTGGCCGGTGATCAAGGATGACAACAGGGCAAAAAATTAGAAAATGCGGAACGGGAGGGGAGAGCGCAGTTGGGCACGGTCGAGGCTGAACCGCGTCAGTGACAAGCTACATCGCCGTGGCGCGCGCGAGCCCAACCACGAGTGACGCAGGTTCCATCGGAGTTACCGGTCCCTCCCTCCCTCTCGCTCTCTCTCCCTCTGTCACCCAGAGTCTGTGGCAAACTTTAGCAACCGAGGCAGAAATCCTCGCCAAAACGTGGATGCAGGCATTCACCTCACAAGCGGCCTACGGCTGGACGATGGGGAAGCTTAATTCATGAGAGCTTGGGCCTGTAGTGAATAAAGCAGCATTCGCTACTAAAAGGACTGAAGTCGAAAACTAGCCAATACTCACGAATCACAAAGTTGCTGATCAAAATACTCCGCTTTTAGGCTGGTGGACAGAAGGGACGTAAGGCTCACCCAGGTGCCTGTACAGGACTGGAGAAAGTTGGGAAAGCAGCCAAGTTCTCCATCTAAACTTCAACATCCCTCACTCACGACATTCTGTCCGATTGGCCTTCAAGGGAAAGTGTCGGTGGCGGCAACCTTTGGTTAGACAGGTCAGGATCCCGAAACTCGAGGGTTCAGCAGTGAGCAGTAAGTAATGAATAATATAATAAGAAAAGGATCTGAGCTTGGCAAACTGTGACGGCTCCCCGAGAGCACGCATTAGCTCCACACGAATGAGCGTTTAGTTGGGTTCGGTTAGTCGCATGGAACAATGCTTCAAAGATTTGTTTGCCAGAGCAACCAATAAAAATCTGTTCTGGTGCACGCCGTAACGAAACAACAGTTGAAGGTGGGGAATGGGGCTTGGAGACTTAGCAGAAAATTAAGGTTATCGTGTGGAATTCAGGTTTGGGTCAATTCGCATATAAATTCAGTTGGTCAAAAGTACGCCAACTATCCAAAAAGGATGCCTGGGGCCATCTGACAGAAGCCCCACCGACTCAACAAAATCTAAAAATTGCAAATGCTGTCGAGAGCAGCGTAGAAGCAATTCAGCAAGCGATAAAGGAGAGTGATAAAAACCGACTACTACATCAAGGCTGGAACTTCTCACCAAATGTGTCGATTTGGTCAAAAAGAATTAACTTAACCAAAATTGGCTTGAAGGGCCCCTAAAAAGCAAAGACTGTTTTGTATCTTTCTTCATAGCGCATTTGGGGAAAAATACTCATAGATCTTTTAAACTAGAGAGGCGGTGCGTCGTACTCAGTAAGGATGGAATTATTTACAACCAATAGAAATCAGAGGCGAAATGGGAAATGTGCACTGGTTGACGACAACTGGATGCAGACCTGAAATCAGGCGGCATAGTCCGTGAAAAACATGCAAGCGATACTTGGAAAACAGTGTCTCATAAAGAGGCTTTCAGACTGATGAGCAGCAAGAGATTTTGTAACGGTTGGTAAAAACCAGGGACGGTCGCCGAGTTCCGCTCAAATGCCCATTCTCAAAGTGCAGTTTCGACGCCTGTCCTAACACTCTGAATCAGGCAGAAGACTTGACTCCTTGCCTTTACCTCCCCGTTACTCGTCCGATCGATTTTGTAAATCTCCTGAAAGTGTGACGGCCGACGGCTGATCATCGCACTAGCACGACCTTCAATGATGGGCACAGATAGGTGCTCGAGTGTGCCAAGGAGACAATGCAACTAGAGGTGACAACGAACATGAAGTTAGCTGATCCTACTGACTTTGAGCCAAAATCCGCGCATACATGAGCGTTTTGTCCCCTTCTGAGGCATCTACAGCCTTAACCAAGGAAAAAGACGTTGCCCAACCCCTCCCCAGAGAGCACACACCGACCTTGAGATTTTTGCCGTCAAAGGGGAGGGAGCCGCTGACTAGGGTGTAGAGGATAACGCCCAGAGACCAGACATCCACCTCGGGACCGTCGTATTTACGGCCGAGAAAGAGTTCGGGCGCAGCGTAGGGGGGACTGCCGCAGAAGGTATCCAGCTTCCGGGAGGATGAGTAATTGTTGGAGAAGCCGAAGTCGGCAATCTTGATGTTCATAGAATCATCCAGAAGTAGATTCTCAGCCTGAAGGGGATTTAAGAAGATGGACAATGAGAACATAAGGAGAGGAACAAGGAGGTGATGTAATAATAAAGCGCCAAAGTGGTGACCAGCAGAGTGCTCGTATATCTACACATCACAGACGCGAGAAATGAGGGTTCAAGTGAAACCTGTTCAATACTGGTAGAGAACACCGTGGTTGTACAACGGTGGAAGTGAGCCAATAAAAGACCGGATACCTCAAGGGGACGGTGATGGCTACTACTATCAAAGGTAGGTCAGTTTCACTACGTATGCGTTCCTCCTGCAAGTAGCGGTAGGCGGTGTGTCTGACGTAAGATGCTACGGGAAACTACGAAAGTAGAAAGAGTTCAAAAAGACGTCAATAGTAGTAAACGGCCTTTGGAGGCTTTCCTCGCTAAAAAGATAAAATAGTAGCCGACCTAAGTGACAGCCTAAATTATAGGAAGTCAAGGGCCCTCACATAGCGCA